ATGAAATGTTTATGAAGCCGTTATGAAACCGTTTTATAAAAAACATCCGAATCGCATAATTATTTGATTGGCCCATCTTACTTACTAATATTTTGATATAATGACGTATTTTCATTGTTTAAAGATAGCAAACTCATAACTTATTTTATGTGATTCTATTGTATCATTTAATTTTTAATGATCACAATACGTATTCCAATAAAAAACTTTCGCCAATACGGGAATATCGAATTTAGTCTTACGTAATTTAATTCAAAATTTTAACTTCAATCAGAAATTAATCTTAATCAATCATTTACCAAGAACGAATGAAGATAGATGCACAACATGCATTAGCCATAGCTGCCACAACAATAATGTCTTGATTTTGATTGGCTATACTATGCGATCCTTGATGTTTTTTCTACCTTCTGGTGATATTTTCTCAACGACTATCTGATTAATATTTGATAATTTTTTTATTTTAATTCTAAAGTAGAAGAATTAAAATAAAAAATTTTATTGAGTTTACCTGGTAGATTTCGAGAAAATTTCAATTGAAGTTTTTTTTAAAAAAAAAAACGTAGAAAAATAGAGAAAAATGGCACGATTATGATTTTTTATTGTTTAAACGATAAATAAATTCGATGAAAGTCTTTTATTTTAATTCTACAAGCCTATAGAATTAAAATAAAAAAATTTTCATCGAATTTGATTGAGTAGTTATTAAGAAATAATTACTTTAAGTTTAAAAAAAGTTCTATTTTTTCGTTTACAAGTGGTTTAAAACTTTGAAGATTTCTCGGCGATTACCTGATTAAATTCGATGAAAATTTTTTATTTTAATTCTATTTCTTGTAGAATTAAAATAAAAAAATTTTTATTGATTTTGGCCATGTGGCTATCGAGAAATCATTGATTGTATTTTTAAAAAGACTGATCTTATATTTATACTTTAAAATAACATTTCTCAATTCCTACTGAACCAAGTTCGATGAATTTTTTTTATTTTAATTCTACTAACTTTTAGAAATAAAATAAGAGATTTTCATCGAATTTGATGGAAAATTTATCGAGAATTATCTGTTTAAAGTTTAAGAATTGAAATTGCAAATGCATCCGTTCAAGTTATTGTTGTCTGTCACTTATAAGTTTGATGCTTATAAATAAATACTTGAATGGATAATGATAAAAAATAATTGTGTAAAAAAAGAATAAAATTTTTTTTAAATAATTAAATCAAATCGCACATATAGTTTGCAAAGATTAATGGTATCACAAAAGAACCTATTTCATAAAAACTGCCAGGTAAATTGTCACAGAGCATCCACAAGCTATTTATATAAATCGACTTTTGAATCTTTTAAAACACCTTAATAGTAATTAAATGAGTAAAAGTATAACTCTCAAAATATCATTCTTAAGACTATACTTTAATGTATATATTGACTCTTGATATAGCGAATAATTCAAAAATCAAGTTTCGCAGGACTCTTTATTATCGCATGTTAATTACGATCGTTAAACAAACTAGACTGCGAAGCTTCACCAGATTCTTTTTTTAAAAAATATTGAAAAATTGGCCGGTCAAGTTATGAAAATGAAAAATCAACTTTGCGTGCTTAAATTTAAATAGGAAAAGTTTTTATGTATCAGGTAGCTTATCCTATTTGGTATGATATGAGTATAAAATTACTTACTAAAAATTAATTGTAGAAGTTTTAACGTACATACATACATTCATGCTAATAAATACCTTATTTATTATTGCAACAAATTTATAAATTTATAAAATACCACCAGTTTTGATTAATATGTAATACGTATTGATTTTGAACTGTATTAATTAATATGACAAATTGGATTTTCGCACTTTTCAATTTATTGTGATCGACCAGCGAAAATTCCCTAAATTCACAAAATTCCTCTTCGATTTCCGTTTTTCAATACTTCAACAAGTAATATACAGTACAAGAACTGGTTGTTGTACAGCTGAATAATAAAGGAATCTCGGGCTTTTTTTTTCGGTTTCATACCCGTAAATCAAACCCTTTTAAAAATTTAAACCATCTCGACAACCACTAGTCAAATTCGATGAGCTTTTGAATTCTATGAATCTACAGAACTTAAATAAAAAAATAAATAAAAATAAAAATAATTAAAATTTGACTTGGTGATTATCGAGTTATCATTGTTCAAAGTTTTAAAAAACTCAAATGTCTATCAAATAAAAGCTGCGCCAAAATTTTTTCAATTTTGAGCGAACAATCATCAATTAATTTCAATGAAGTTTTTTATTTAAATTCTACGAAATCGTAGAATTTAAATAAAAAAAGTATATCGAATTTGACTTTGTGGTTATCGAGATATCTTCACTCAAATCATACATCCAATAGATACGCATTAAATCAATCTAATCAAAATAATAAAAAACTGTGCCAAAATTTTCTCAAACTTTGAGCAAAGATATCTCGATGACCACTAAGTCAAATTCGATGATTTTTTTTTTATCAAGATATCTTCGCTCAAAGCTTTAAAAAAACGTTTGTCAAAAATAAAAGCTGCGCCAAATTTTTCTCAAACTCGATGAACTTTTTTTTTTGTTAGGCCCTACAGAATTATAGTATTCGAATAAAAATTCCTTAAATTTGATTTGGTGGTTGTCAAGGTACCTTCACTCAAAGCTTAGAAAATTTTGACGCATCTTTTTTGAATTTTATGAAGCTATCAAGTCGTTTTTAAATTTCCTTATTTGAGAGATCTACATGGACCAACTATCAAATCGTACGACAAAAAAAAACCAAAATACAAGAAAGAGTATCTAAATCTGTCTTGGGGCACTAACAAACAATGTCGAGAGGATAAATTTACCTATAACTCTTACTTAATCCTAACCTAAACTAGCACTTATTTTACTGCTTCGCTTTAACATCCTTCCAAATAAGAGAAGCCAGGTGCGATCACGTGACTAACAGCCAATCAAAATATAAAATTTGATTGGCCCTTATAAGACTCGCCTCATACGTAGGAAGACATTTATATGATTGGTTAATTTTTGTAGGTCCACCCGTGATTTCCCGTGATAATTAACCAGTCAAATAAATAGTTTAAATTAATACTATGATATTAGAAAACAAAAGAAACTTCGTATAAATAAGCTTACAAACTAATAAATACACGTGAAAGAATTTATTATTAATATGTATAGTATAGATAGATACGCGTAACATGAGTAAATAAGATATTTATTGTCACGGATTATCGTGAAATCAGATCATCGTGAAATTTAGATTTATTTTATGCATGATTTTTAAAATTTCTTGGGACCTTTTTTTTATAGTTAAGCTAGAGTTTAGGGTTAGAATTATTAATAAAAGAGTATAGGTGAATCTTGGTAGGGCTTATATTTTCAAATCAAGATCCCAAATTTCACGATAATCCGTGACATTTATTACTAATAAATCCAAAATATTAAAGAATCTACCATATAAGATATAAATTAAAACTATTAAAACTTTAAATATTAATTTACAGTTGACAAGCTTAAATACACTACAAGAACCGGCCAAATTTAAATATTAAGCCCAGATCTTCTTGTTAAAGAGCTTGTATCTATTCAAATTAAACAGTTGGAAATAAAACTTTATTTAAATCTAACGTAATAAAATAGTTTTAGACGAAAACATTTCTAGTTACCTTTACTCTACAGTATAATTTGATATATTATAATAAACGGTAGGCATATTTTACCTTCTAAGTAAAGTTCGTGGGGGATACTGATTACTACTTATTATTTTTGCATAGTGAATATAGACGTTCTATCGAAGCAAAAAATGGCTTTTGTGGTGATTTTTTGTTAGTGAAACGTTGTGTCCCCAAAAAGTATAAATAAGTTACCCGGGCAATTGATTTACATCATCCTATGAACACTAACCCCTAACCAACCCTTACACTAAGTAATCAAAATATTTAATATATATGTTGTGCCCCAGATACAAATTATGTGAACGCACCTGGCTTTAGCCATCCCTCAAATATGGAAATTAGAAAAACGTTCGGCCGATTAATATCACTAAATGTGGCGGCACAATGTTTTTGTATATATATTTTTTGCTTTTTCTTTCACGTCTCATTTATTAATTTCTTTGTTGTACTAAAAAGCCGAATCCCAATTCTTGTTTATTTCTATTGAGAATTTTTAAAATAAAATTGACAACGTATCCATTAACACGATAAAGAATCATATTTTCACAAACTTCTTAAAATATTTAACGTCAACGAATTTGATTTATCGAAATGCGTTAAAAGATAACGTTGGATTCAGAAGTTACTATTTTGTACTACGTATATTATACCGATATAATTTTTATCGTTAAGAAAAAACCATTAACCTGTAACGACTAAATTAATTAATACCCGTTTCGGAAAATCTATTCTATCAAGCGAGCCAATAAGTTCGCATTTTCCAGATTTCCAGATTCTATTTCCTTTTATATACTAATTCTAACTAAAAAAAAAAATTTGGCCATTTAAATATGTAGCACTAATATGCGCAAATATTGTCTAGCCATAGTGGCACACCAACCCAGTACACATTTTCCGAATGTCTTTCTTTTTATATACAAAAGGTGGATAACGATCATACCCGAAAAAAAACAAAATTCTTTATTTGAAACACTTAAACTTGTAGCACAAATATGAACTTTGTTTTTACACCTAAAAGTTGAGACTTCCTAAATAACCGATCTTGATAAACAAATAAATAAAACAAACCGAAATAAAGTTTTAAGTTTAAACTTAATTAACTGATAAAGTAAAGAATTTCTTATAATGACGTACTGGATTTCTTCAATAGAATGTCTACATTGAATATATGCGTATCACAATGCATTTTTACATGTCATGAGTTATGGAAGGGTTCTCCACTATGGGAAATTAGTAAACTCCGTTACGAAACCTTATAAAAAGGTGATATTTTACTCATTTGAGATTTATTCACAGTCGAATAATCAAATAATAAAATGTTTTCCAACTTCAACATCACCAATATTTTGTTTGTGCTATTAATTATTTCAGCACTACCATATGATAATATTCGCCAAACAATCTTAAATTTCAAAATAATCCAAAATATTTTATCTGAATATGTAAATTGTCATTATATTATTTTTGCATGCCTATTTATTCTTTGGCGCAAAATCAATTCAGCTTCCCATGCTGAAACAAAAAAAATTGAAGCTATATTGGCTCTTAATAACGAAATACGTAACAACATTAACAGAATATATGAAACGTCTCAAGCTGAAAGTGAAAGAATTGAAAGAACTATAACGGATCTTAATAGTAACATTAATAGAATACGTGAAACATCTCAAGCTGAAAATGAAAGAACTGAAAGAGCTATAACGGATCTTAATAACAACATTAATAGGTTACGTGAAACATCACAAACTGAAAATGAAAGAACCGAAAGAAATATATCGAATCTTAGTAATAATATTAATAGAATGCATGAAACTTCACAAGCTGAAAATGAGAGAATCGAAAGAACTATATCAAATCTCAGTAACAATATTAATAGAATACGTGATACCTTCCAAACAGAAAATGAAAGAATAGAAAGAACTATATCGAATCTTAGTAACAACATTGACAGCATGCGAGAAACATCCCAAGCAGTACATGAAAGAATCGAAAGAGTTATATTGGATCTTAGTAACGAAATTGATGAAATACATGAAGTCGACATATCTCAAGGTACCTGTATATCATGAAATTATAATCGTTTCTGAATCATGTGCCAGTATATCAAGCTAATTTTTAACATTATAATTTATTCATAGCAGGTCTAAATCCATTTAATACCTTTTCAACCACAAATCGTACAGGCACAAGACAATACTCCGATTATTCTAATAGAGAAACGTTTTGGAATGTATTTAAATCCCTCGTTAATCAAAGAATAGCGAGGGAAAGCCGATCTCTCAATTCAATGTTTAATGAAATAGCCTCGAATGTTAATATTTCTAGAAGCACTGTATATAACTTTTATCATCGTCGAACAAATCCGCGAGAAACTACAACAAACGAAATTTTGAGATGGGTCAATGGAGAAGCAGGAAGAAATAATAATTTAAATGATAATTACCTCCAAAATTCTTCGTGGGCTCTAGCAAGTTAAAGGATTATTTTTACGAAATTATGGAGCTTAAGAAATGTGTTTTGCAGTATGAATTTACCAAATTTTATGTGGAATTATTATCTATACATATTATAGCGCTTTTCAAATTACTGTGTCCACTGATTTTCATACATCACACTGGAAATCAGAAATCTAGAATAAAT